CTCCAATAATCTGTCCTCAGTGCTGCAGTCGTTCAGCTCTGACTGAAATTTCTCTCCCAGATGTTCGTTCAGGAATAATCAGCTGACCTCCACAAAGTTCTCTTCTTCCTCCAGACCTGCTGCAACAACAACTCAGTCTTTGGAGCTAAATGTGGTTCTAATGTGATGCTTTTTTGTTTCATTGACTTCTTTTTATCACTTGTTACTAAATATAAGAGAATCAAATGTTTTAATCTCATACCAGGTCAGAACAGCATCACTTGTTAATCACTTCTCAGTCAGTGAAGCTGAGATGTTGTTATGAATGGAGCCAAATAGAAATAATCAGTACTGAGACGCTGAGAAGTTTCTTAGCTAAGATCTTAGTTCTCCAGTTCTGTCCTTTTCTCTGCAGGTCCATCAGAACCTCATTGCCATGACGACAAAGGACTACTCCATCATGACTGTGCTTTGTTTGGTAGCAGATCCAGGTTTCTTTTGTCTTCATGTTAATCAGGAATAGCCAGCTCCAGTCCTCCAGAGCTGCTGCCCTGCAGTTTCTAGACTGCAGCATCCAGTCATCCAGCTCTGCAGAGGCCCGGTACAGAAACATTCATCTGATTTCTTCCTGTTAAAAGGGAGTTTTTCCTCTCGCTACAAGCATGCTTAGTGTGAGGGATTGCATTTGGGTCAATGAGTCAATGCAATTAACTGGTTTACCTTAGATAGAAAACTTTTAATCAATTTGCCTGGATGATCTGGTTGGTGCCTCTAGATGATATGTGTTGTGAATTGGCGCTATAGAAATAAACTGAACTGAAATGAATTCAGGTGTTCAGGAGAAGTGATGCATCTAAAAGCTGCAGGACAGCAGCCTTAGAAAGCCCTGAATTCTAGAAAGTTTTCAAAGCTCTGCATTTTTTTCCACTTTTCAATCTGTTTCAGCCTTTTTCCAAACGCTTTAAATTGATCTCTTCTCTAGATTCTAAACAAAGTGGTTCATTATGAAAAAGTAGAAAAGGTTTATTTTTATAATTTTAATAAATGTATTACTCATTAAAAAACTAATAAATCATATTTTCATACATATTCACAGCTTTTACCATTAAGCTCTAAACTCAGCTGAGGTTCAGACTGTCTCCACTGATCATCCTTCCATGTTTCTACAGTTTAGATGGAGTCCAGCTGTGGTGCATTTATCTGACTGGATGTGATGAGGAATATAGACGCCTGTCTATATAAGGTCCCACTGCTCACAGGTTCAGGTCAGAGAGCAAAACACCAAGCATGAAGTCAAAGCAGCATGAAGCTGCAGGCACTGCATGAAAAGTGGGATTTTCGTCAATATACGGCACTGTAGATTGTCGTGGAACTTCAGGTTAGCGGC